GGCTCGAACCGGCAACCTTCCGATTACAAGACGAACTGCCAACTCTTGAGCCACGATCTTCTTCATAGCAACATTATAAATGTTATATGGTGGTAACACAGTATGAAGACATGGTTACATGTAATAGATGGTTGGTTTGAATAATTTATCAAATGTGAATTTTACATTTCCAAGAATCTGAGAAAATATCTCAGGTTTTATGAGGGAGCATTCCCTGTAGTAAATGCTCCCTTTAGGGCCAGTAAAGCAGATTATTTGCCTCCATCTCACTCTATCCTTTCCATCCTCTTCTCTCACACCATCCATCTTCATTTCCTCCTTCATGACATCCATGCACCTCCTCTGTGGTCTTCCTCCTTCCCTCCCGCTTGGCATCTGTTGTTCATTATAGCTAGTATCCTTCCTCTGCACCATCTCTAACCACACCTATTCAGCTGTCTCCAAACGGTTTAACCCGAGCTATCCCTCTGATATAATCATTTCTAATCCTTTTCCTTTTGGTCACCCCAGTGAAAATCTGAGCATCTTCAACTTTGACATCTCCAGCTCAGCCTACTGTCTTTTTGTCAGTGCCACTGTCTCTAAACCTTGTATCTCCAGTCTCACTACCATGTTGTGAACCTTTGGTTTTACTCTTGCTGCTATCATTCTGTCACGAATTACCGCCAGGACTCTTCTTCACCTCTCTGTTGCTTTTCTGACTACTTAAACTCATCCCTCTTCACTATATCTGGTTCCTGCATCGTCATTTTTACACCCGTCTCCCTGTCATGCAAACAATTGTTCTGTCTTTCTTCTACTGAATGCAATTCCTTTTCTGTCCAGTGCACCTCCACCTCGTTCACCTGCTCCCTATTCTCACTAGAATGCACCATGTTGTCCAGAAACATTCTAGCTCAATAAATTAGTGATTCATTTCAGCGGTAAGTTAGCTAAACCACAGCACAATGTAACCATTTTCTATTAATATGTGCTTTATTTATGCAGGTAAACACTCAAAGGCTCTTGACCTTCCTCTAAGAGATGTGATGTCAATCTTTTCTAGTGTGTTAGGAGCCCCAAGTGTAAGTCTTTGAGATGTTTGGACTTTGCATTGTTCATTTCTTTTCTGCATCATGAGAAAATCTATGCTTTTTTGGAATAACATTAGTAATAATTAATCTCTGATATGTGAAACCTTTGTGTGTTGCAGTAACTATGGATGGAGATGAGACTGAGATGAGCAGAGAGGAGTGCTGGATAATAGAGAAGGCTAAGGAGACCCAACGGGTCTCTCCGGATTTGCTGGAGAAATGCAATCAGCTGCAGTCTCTGCTGAAAAGGAGAGAGGAACAGGCCGCGTGCCTCCTGAGACTTTGCGAGTGAGTGTTGTCATTGTAAACGAATATGAAAGCATTAAGTGTGGCAATCTTTAAAAAAACAAACAAACAACTCTTTTAACATGCTTAACTACTCACACAAAAAACTGGTTTTGGGGTTCATTCTCTTGTTGGTTCATTGTTGGAATAAAATGTAATAAAAACGAGCAACAGTCAAGAATTGTTATATATGGAGTGTGGAGATGAGGAAAATATTGTACTGCTACTATTCATAACTATCATCATTATCATTGCATTAATCAGCATTTCATTAATACATTTATTGAAGCGGTTGGCCTTACATTAAAACTTGTATTGCAGGTGTGATCATAATTACATATTAACCTTTTATTGCATGTGCAACTGTAATCATTTTTATACACACATTGCAGGATTGTGCTTATATAGAGTGATGCTCGGTCTATTTAAAGGTCTTAAGCTTGGCGTGGCGCGAATGTCCAGGCGATCCATGGTGTAAGTGACCTAGAGCAACAGAAGGTTTAAGCATGCACGCTTGCAAACATACATGATAGTATTCATTCTAGGCTAAAGGCCTGGGACACATTTTGCTTCTAACTGCATTTGAGTTCGCCTAGTAACAGATGACAGAAGAAGAGTCAAGAAAAGTGTCAATCCTCAGGGACCACCTGGAGGGTGAAACAGATTGCCATATATGGAAGAATGTGATAGGAAGTTTCACACTGTTAGACCTCTGCCTTACCACAACATACGTCAAATACA